CAGATGGCAACCAATTTGATAGAGGTTATACATGTGCAATCATGCAAAACATATTTCCATATTAGTCACGTTGTGAAAGAGAATACAGACCATAAAAAAACATGAAAAAATAAAGTGAAAAAAAATAATAGCAGCTTCTTCCCAGGGTTTTTGTTTTTTTTTTTTTTTTGGTGGGGATAAAAAGAGAGAATATTTTTAAAGTACTTTGTATTGTTTTGTTATGGGAATTTTTTTATTTCCTTTTACTATTTGGGACTCAGGGCCATTCCTTCTGCAAATTTGGGTTAATTAAAAGTCTGTTTTAATATTAACCTCACCTGAACAAAAGCTTTCCCTTGGGATGTAAAAATTTGCTTAAGAGTCTTAAGCATCCCTTAGCTAAGAAGCCAGAAGAAGAATCTCAACTGTCCCTGACTCCTTGGTAACGTATAAATCCTCTTCCTCCTCAATTAGTCTATTTGTGAATCCTCTAAATGTAGTTTAGTCTGCAACCTGACTTAGTTTACCTGTGGAGTTTGTTTGACAAGGTTTGTTTCCTTGGGGAATGTATGAGATTATGACTTTGTTTACCTTTTAGGACATTGAAGGAAGTATAGGATTATGGATCTATCTTCTCTTTAACTTTTATGGCCCAAGAGAAATGTACAAGATTGCAATATGTGAAAGAATTATGTCTCTGCCATTTTGATGTAATTTTGCCTATAAGAAGTCTTGTTAGAATCCTAATGATCTAGTTTTCTCTGACGCCTGAACCTATGCTTGAGCATAATAATAAAACCTAAGTTTTTACTTCTATAATTTCTGCATTGTGGTAAACATATAGTTGGCAGCATGTACCTACCATTTGAACTCAGAGAGGAGATATTTCTCCCATAACAGCTTTAATCATTATATAAATGCTAGTTGTTACTATTCAAGCCTCTTTTCTCCAGGCTAAATAAGCAACCTCAATTCCTAAATGAGCCTCTTTACGTGTGATTTTGAGACCTTTCATTCTCGAAATCACCTCTGGCTCTCCAGAGGATCTCTCATCTTCATCTCTGGATATCTTCCAGTTTATCAATATCATTCCCCAAATGTTCTTCCTACTACAGATATCATCTGACCCAGTAGCTTGCATAGCCACCTGCCTGTTCCTAGACACCACACCTCTCAATATATCAGCGAGGTAGACCGATGCCTGGTGTTATTACATAAAAATAAAAGGTTCAATCACACCCAAAATAGAGATACCCTCATGGTACCACCCATGGAGACTAAAATCACCAGTTTGAAGGCCACCTACTAGAGTCCTCCGCAGCCAAGAGTGGTCCTGGAACACTCTTTGAGATCATGCCAAATCTTCAAAGCTGGAGGCTGATAAATGTCAATTTGTGCCCTGTGCTAATTTTAGAAGAGCTGTTCCCAATGTTAATGAGGAGCCTGCTTTATTCCTTACCTAATTTTGCTTGCTGGTCAGTGTCAGCAACACAGGCAGAGTGTTCTATGGGAAATGGAACCTCCCGATGAATGAACACAGTGGGGATATGAATTATTAAGAAGACACACAGTGTTCCTTATCTGCTCCCTCTTTTACTCTACCTTCCCCCTTTCAGGTCTTTTATTTTTTCCTGTTGTCTCTCTCTCTCTCTAAGACAGTCTCTGGTCTTAAATGATTCCTCCAACCCCAAAACCTCAGTTTTATTTGATTTGTATTCAATCCTGACAATCAAGTAAGCTTAACCTATTGCTTAGAACAAGTTTTTCCCCTTCTGTTTTCCAGCATGCATCAGGCAGGAAGGCTTGGGTTCCTGTGGAGCCGGTCAGAACTGGCCAGGAAATAAAATAAAAGAGCTTAGAGTAGGGGAGAGCTTAGAGAAGAGGAGAGCTAATGCCATCAGGCAGGAGGCTCAGCGTTCAGAGCTGACCGATGGCACCCAGCTTGGTAAGCAGTAGCACAGCCCTGCTTCCTTCTGCCTGAAAGCTAGGCCCTGGGCAGGGACAGCAGCAAGCAAAAATATCTAATTTTTTTTTTTAGGTGGGGAGATCAAATCCAGCCCATAACCTCAAACAATTAGGTGCTAGGCCCTTAGCAATGCTTTCCAAGGATGAAAATGATTAAATGATTCTTGCCTTTCTCTCTCTCTCTATACACACACAGACACACACAGACACACACACACACACACAGACACAGACACACACACACACACACACAGACACAGACACAGACACACACACACACACACACACACACACACACACCCTTAAACTTCTCAAAGGCCAGGACCGTTTCATTCTTGTCTTTATACCCCAGTGCTGAGTATAGTACCTTGCACCTAGCAAGAATTCAATAACGAGCTTACCTGTGTGGCATGATTTCTGTATGGTGGAAAGATAAACCTATCCTTTTACGTCCCACCAAACCAAGCTAATACTTTTTTTTTTTTTACTATTAGAGTTTCATTTCTTTGACTTAAAACTCTATCACAGAGTCATAGAATTTAGAACCAGATGGGAACTTAGATTACTTTAGTACACCTCCATCCCCCAATTTTCTTGAGGCCCAGGTTATATGCTTAAGGTCATGTAGCTTGTAAACGATGATGGACAAATACCCCTGGAAGAACTAATGGGCAATTATTTGTACATATCAGTCATGCACACACATGTATTCAAATGAAAGAGTTTAGCAGATTTTCCTGAGTAGAATTCAGAGGTCAGAGTAGTGACTGAGCATGAGGTCAGTAGATGCTGGCAGGTGGTAGAGGTGATTAGGGGTAAAGAAAACAAACTGCCAACCACACCATTTGGCCCAAGGCTGACACTCTCTTTGGTACTTCCCTACAAATGATATTTTGAATTCTTTCTATCCTTCCAAACTTTGAATATCCTTGAATAACTTCCCAAGAATAAACAGATTCACAGACCTGAAGGTGCACACAGTTAGGAGGTGGGCAAGGGAATGTGACACTAGTGTTCCCCAGACTGGGTGCCTCACTTGGGTGGGGGTGGGTCTCGCCTCTTGCTACCTGCCACAGAATGTCATACAGCAGAGACTGAACAGTGCCAATGGAAACTAGGTTAGGGAGGAGAAAGGCGTTTTTACCCTCCCTGGTTCTCAGTGGCACAACATAGGCCAAACCATGTTTGAGGGGAAACCTCCAGAGCTGATCATTCCTCAGCATTCTCCAGGCATTTGTGTGGACACTGACCCTACTTTTCAGTTGAGGAAATGGAGTCTTTTTGAAGCGAATTGATTGGCCCCAAGCATAGTCCACACCTGTGATCTATTCACCTTCTCATCCCCTTGGTTCTGGCAGCCCACTCATTCTCTAGTCCCTCAGTTACATATGAAATTCTCCCTGAAAATTCAAGCTATCCTTGCATAATATCCCCCTACATTATGACTCTGCACACACACACACACACACACACACACACACACACACACACACACACA